TGGTGATGGTCATGGAGGGGAGGAAGGGGATGCCCATGGTAAGATTGTCCACGGTGCGCCACCATAGTAGGGACTCTGGATGGTGTGGGCATAGTGTCCAAGTGGCGCCCCTCTATGTCCACTGGGGTGGGCTGGTCCCTTTGTGGAGTACCCTGCATGGCCTCCACAATGATGGAGTTGGGCCCAGGGTGGTGGAGTAGGCGGGGGAAGGGCTTGACCATAACTTTAAACCTGGATTCAGCCCTGCATGAGGTGGTCAGAAGGCCACACGGGGCCTTCCAGGACTGCTGTGCTGCGTGCAGCAGGGCAGGCATGACCGGGATGGACCCTGTGGTGTCCCCAGAGGCAAGTGCATAATAGCATGGGTCTGCCTCAGGTTCGGGGGGCTGGCAGGTTTGGAAGTTTAAGTCCTCGGCCATGCGGAGCACCATATCAGAGAAACTACTCCCCTTGGCAGGTGAAAAGGAGCAATCCTGGTCCCAGGCCTGCCCCGCTGGGGAGTGGGTTGGGGTTGCAGGGGAGTGGGGGCGTCCCGAGACAGGGGAGCGGCTCTGACCTGAAGCCTGCGATATAGACCGATGGACAACTGGGAGTGGAGTCTGGGAGCAGAATCGCTAGAGGAAGAGAGGCTCCGTGCACGCTGCACCCTTGTAAGCCTCTTCCTTGAGGCCTGGGGCATGGGCCTAGGCCTGGTGTGGGGAGTGCAGGCCTCCAATGAAGCTGAGTCAAAATCGGCTGGGCTGGGCAGGGCCTCCCCATTGGCAGAGAGCTGAAGTTCGTAGAGCTGGAGAGCGGGGAGGCCTCTAGCTGCTGTGCCGATCTCCCTCGGTTCCAGCGGGGGGGCAGGGGCGCGATGATCCTGCCGGCTCTGTTGAAGATTCTCAGCTCCTGCAGGCGCTGCTGGGGACCAGCGTTCGGGGGGGGGGGAGAGATGCTCCATCAGCAGTCTCTGTTGCGGCCATGGCCATGCCACATGTGGGGATGGCCAGAGGCACAGGCGGTGTTGCTGGGATGGCAGCGCCCGGCTGCTCCAGTCCCGGATCAGCAGAGGTCATGCCCAGGGGTGCTCCAGAAGCTGGGGAGACCACACGTTGAGGAGGCCTTCCCCTGGCGATGCTGCCCTCTTCCTTGCCCTGGCGGGCTTAGAGGAATCTTCCCAGGGGGGTGGTTATCCACTCCTGGGGTAAAGGATTTGAGGACGCACCGCCATAAGGCCTGTTTGCTGGCGTGTCTGCTCCTTAAAGGCCTGGCAGTGGGTGCAAGTCTCCACGATGTGCCCCTCGCCAAGGCAGAGGAGGCACTTGGAGTGCCCATCGTTGGCAGGCATCCTAGCTGCGCAAGAGGTGCAGCAATGTGGAGTTGAATTGGCCATGCGGTCCTTGGAGGAGCGCATGTGGGCGATTCAAGGGAGAGAGAGAAAACTGGAGATTGAGAAAGGTAAGAGAAAGAGGGGGGAGAAGTGGCAGCCTTCTCTCTACGCAGTTAAAGGAGCAGAGGTTTTGGGGGTTTTGTTGTTGTTTTTTAATAGAAGGGAGCGAGAGAAAGAAAAAAAAATGGCAACACATTTAAGCTGGAGAGGTCCGATCCGGAGAGCCAAGCCCAGCGTGGTCAAAAAGGAACTGAGGGAATGGGCGGGAGCCGCCGCCTATGTACCACTCAGAGTGCAGGGTGGTCCCTGCTCCCGCCCACTCCATGGAGACCAGCTTTGGAAGTTTCCACTGGATGAGGCCTACACTGCGTGTCAGGCCCCATTGGTGTGTGATTTGCATGGAGATCATGAAGAAGAAAGTCTGCCTATACTCCATCTTCATCCTCTCAACCACCACCACCTATGAGACAGGTTAAACTGAGAGGGAGTGACTGACCACAAATCACCCAGGTGAGCTTCATGGCCAATAGGGGATTAGAACCTAGATTTTGCAGGTTCCCAGTCCAACACTGTAACCATCATACTACTTGCATCTAAACACAAGTTTGTGGGCCAGCCTCTTAATCCATGTACAGTGTATCACAGAAGTGAGGACACCCCTCACATTTTGTAAATATTTTATTATATCTTTTCATGTGACAAGCCTGAAGAAATGACACTTTGCCACAATGTAAAGTAGTGAGTATACAGCTTGTATAACAGTGTAAATTTGTTGTCCCCTCAAAATAACTCAACACACAGCCATTAATGTCTAAACTGCAGGCAATAAAAGTGAGTACACCCCTAAGTGAAACTGTCCAAATTGGGCATTATTAGCCATTTTCCCTCCCTGGTGTCATGTGACTCATTAGTGTTACAAGGTCTCAGGTGTGAATGGGGAGCAGGTGTGTTAAATTTGGTGTTATCGCTCTCACTCTCTCATACTGGTCACTGGAAGTTCAACATGGCACCTCATGGCAAAGAACCCTCTGAGGATCTGAAAAAAAAAAGAATTGTTGCTCTACATAAAGATGGCCTAGGCTATAAGAAGACTGCCAAGACCCTGAAACTGAGCTGCAGCATGGTGGCCAAGACCATACAGCGCTTTAACAGGACAGGTTCCACTCAGAACAGGCCTCGCCATGGTCGACCAAAGAAGTTGAGTGCACATGCTCAGCGTCATATCCAGAGGTTGGCTTTGGGAAATAGACGTATGAGTGCTGCCAGCATTGCTGCAGAGGTTGAAGAGGTGGTGGGTCAGCCTGTCAGTGCTCAGACCATATGCCGCACACTGCATCAAATTGGTCTGCAGGGCTGTCGTCCCAAAAAGAAGCCTCTTCTAAAGATGATGCACAAGAAAGCCCGCAAACAGTTTGCTGAAGACAAGCAGACTAAGGACATGAATTAGTGGAACCATGTCCTGTGGTCTGATGAGACCAAGATAACTGATTTGATTCAGATGGTGTCAAGCGTGTGTGGTGACAACCGGGTGAGGAGTACAAAGACAAGTGTATCTTGCCTATAGTCAAGCATGGTGGTGGGAGTGTCATGGTCTGGGGCTGCATGAGTGCTGCCGGCACTGGGGAACTACAGTTCATTGAGGGAACCTTGAATGCCAACATGTACTGTGACATACTGAAGCAGAGCATGATCCCCTCCCTTCAGAGACTGGGCCGCAGGGCAGTATTCCAACATGATAAGGACTCCAAACACACCTCCAAGACGACCACTGCCTTGCTAAAGAAGCTGAGGGTAAAGGTGATGGACTGGCCAAGCATGTCTCCAGACCTAAACCCTATCGAGCATCTGTGGGGCATCCTGAAACGGAAGGTGGAGGAGCGCAAGGTCTCTAACATCCACCAGCTCCGTGATGTCGTCATGGAGGAGTGGAAGAGGACTTCAGTGGCAACCTGTGAAGCTCTGGTGAATTCCATGCCCAAGAAGGTTAAGGCAGTGCTGGAAAATAATGGTGGCCACACAAAATATTGACTCTTTGGGCCCAAATTTGGACAGTTTCACTTAGGGATGTACTCACTTTTGTTGCCAGCGGTTTAGACATTAATGGCTGTGTGTTGAGATATTTTGAGGGGACAGCAAATTTACACTGTTATACAAGCTGTATACTCACTACTTTACATTGTAGCAAAGTGTCATTTCTTCATGTGACAACCCTGAAGAAATGACACTTTGCTACAATGTAAA